AACCAGAATTGGCGCAGCCATTCAAATTCAACCTAATTGGAGATATATTGTTTTAGTGCAGTTGACAACTATTGTATAATTCAAACATTCAAAAAATTTTGCACACATTAAATGCACATAGGAGTTTTTCAAAATGTTAACATTTTGAGTTGTTATTGTAAGTTTACTTGTAAATAATTTTTGATGGAGTCTCACACTTCTAGTTATATAGTTATATTGAAAAAAGACACGTCCATCAAAGTCAACCAAAAGATAAAAATAAATATATTTAAAACTTGAATTTCACAGAACCCTAAACCTGCACCTGATCCAGAGTATGGTAAAAAAAAAAACCATTTAAATTCTAATTTGCCCCAGCAAGGAAAAAAAAATCCTCCCTGTATACTCCCTATATCAACAATATATGGTGTTATTTCTTTTTTATATATGGGTTTAAATGCACATCGTATGTGCATCATATGTAGCTTGCTACATTTCACTGCTGTTACTTCAGACAAATAGAGTGATTCCTTATCAATGATCTTAAAGTAAACAACTTTGCACCAAGTTTACAATGCTGACCATTTGTGCATTTACACTAGGTCATAATAGCAACCTTAATCTCCTCATCTCAAGAGAGAATAAAATCAGTTCATCTCAGTTATCTTTCATAATCTTTAATAGCTGAGATCCTCCAAATCCCTTGTTTAGGTTGCAATATTAACAATTTGGGAATACTATTTACATTAATCTAGTAACATACATATACATCTGCTTGAATAAAAGTAGTAAGTCAAGTGTAGCGCTGCTGGAGTGTGTGGTGGTGTGCGAAAAACGATGTGATTTTTGAGATACACTAAATATATATATATATATATATATATATATATATATATATATATATATTTATATATATATATACAGTATATATACACACATCTTCTAAACATTCATAGAGTATTAAATGTTCTCATGCTTATTCATTTTATTCTCATGTTTTCTGCTTCTTGGTTTTGTTTGATTGTACCTGTAGGGTAAGCACTTTTACATTCACTCTTTACACCAGAGTCCCCAAAGTTTTTCTTTACATTAGAGTCCACAGGGCTCCCCCCTTACAGTGCGATAAGAGAGAACTCTGCAGACCCTGATGTAAAGGGGAACACTGCATACCATGATGTAAGGGGGGAAACTTCGGACTCTGGTGTATAGAGGAATTCTGATGTAAGCGGGTCACTGGTCACCAGCACCCCCCCCCCCCCCAAATCTACAGAGTTCCTCTTACATGAGAGTCCACATTGCTCCCCCTTACTTTAGCATCCCTCCTTACATCAGAGTCCCCAAGTTCCTCCTTACATCAGAGTCTGCAGAGCTCCCCCTTACTGGGCAAGGGGGGAATTCTGTGGACCCTGATGTAAGGGGAACACTGTGGACTTTGGTGTAAAGTGGAACTCTGAGGTAAGGGGGTCTCTGGTCACCAGAGCCCCCTCCCCCCCTTACATCATCATCCACAAAGGGAATACACTATGGTAAGGGGAGATACTGATGTAAAAGGAAAGAGAGGACACTGATATAATGGGAAACCTTTGTATTTGTGTCCTTACCTCCCCCTTTTAATCAGGGACCCCTTAGAGACTCTGTTTGGCAGATGGTAAGGCAGTCTCTCTGTGGCATGGAGCTTTCAGGCACTGATCTCTGTAACTGTAAATTGTCTGATGCAGGCCAGGGCACTGAAAGCAGGATCTTCCTCTTCTTCTGCTCCCCCTCCTTCCAGTCTATTTCAAAAGGGTGGAAAAGCCACCAGGTGGTGGAGAGATGTAAACTGAAGTGACCTGGGGGGAAGACTGAGGAGGGAGGTGGAAGCAGCAGCATGATACAGACTGCCAGAGCTCCGAGCTCAGCTGATCAGAAATTGCCTGATATCAGAGCTACAAATACACTGTGTTCAGATGGCCGGTAACTCTGCTATAGGGGGGTTCTGACCCCTCCTTATCTACGTCCCTGTCATTGGCCCATTACTTTCCGTGCGTGAAGAAAAAATGTTTGCACTCCTGCGCCGGACTCCACAATGACAGTAACCATACATAGATAGCCCATGAAATGCACGCCTTGCTGCCCTTAACGGACCAGGGGAATCCAAATGAACTGCATGCAAAAAGACAAAGGCACATCATAAGAAATACAGCAAGGTCCAATCTCCCTGAAAGGTGCCTGGTCGGAGACTGTAGACCTCCAAATGGCTGACGCGTTTCGAGGCAATGCCTCTTCCTCAGAGCAGCTACCAACATGATCTGTGTCCTCTCCACAATGAACTGCAAATAAAGGGTGGATGCTAAGCTGCCCCACCTGTGAGCAGGGATAGCAGATATGTTTGTTGTTTAAAGTGAGGCCATAAAGCCCACATAGTTTAGCAAAAATCATGAGTTGGTTAATTTAATACAATAATCATAAGGTACCCAGTGTAGTACATACAAGAATAATAACTGTACGTTCAAACTCCAAAAAAGTATATTTTCATCAGTATTGTTAAGATCATGTAAGATTCTCTCAACAACAAAGTAATATATATATAATGCCGCCAAAGAAACTGAGCTTCCCCCATCCTCTGGATCTCTCTACCCCAATTTATCAGACTATCGCCTACTCTGCTCACTTTTAGGAGATCTCTGAAAACCTCTCCAGGGAAGCCTATCCTTCCCTCAGCTAATAATGGAATCTTCTACTCCTACCAGTCCATCTCCCACAGTTACTACGTTTTGTAACACTAGCCCCTCCCTATTAGATTGTAAGCTCCAAGGAGCAAGGACCTCCTAACCCTCTTTTATTGAACTGTATTGTTGCTGTATTGTCTCCCGGTATATTGTAAAGCACTGAGCAAACTGTTGGCGCTATATAAATCCTCTATAATAATAATAATAATATACTTTCCATGCATGGTCTGTTCTTTTTGGGTGGCTAGGCCTATTTTAAGATGAGGGCCTGGATCTGCAGCTCCAATAGCCCCTAAATTATTTCAGACCTGATAGTTACCCTTGTGTTTCTTGATTTCCACCTAAGAATCAATATATACCAACTTTCACCCAATAGTCAGAAGTTCCTACCAATGGCCCAGTGCTAGAAAGATCTAAAGCAGAACTCCAGCTGTACAAAAAATAATGCCTGGGGACTGGAAACTCAGGCACTTTGCACTTTCACCCGAGGGCAGAGAGAGTGTTTCATGTCACAACTTAGAACTTAAAAAGGACTTTTCCTCTTTGCTCTTATGGGTGGACGGAAAAGCAGGGAATAAAAGGAAGGCAAGTAACTGGGAAAAGTGACAGCTGAGGGAACCTGTTGCTTTACCCTGTACTGGCAAAACAAAGGTTCACTTTAAGAACCTGAATTGGCAGTCAAGCTGCTACCCACCTCAGCAGTTAATAAGTTCACTAACTCCTAATTAAAACAATAAACGTTATGCTTCTTTATTTAGACTGTCACCTACCCTCCTCACCTTTAGGCGCACCCTGAAAACCCATCTCTTCAGGGAAGCCTACCCCACCCTCACCTAACTGCCGATCTCCTCCACTCCTCCTACCACTCCATCCCCCACAGCCACTTCCTCCTGTGCCACTATCCCCTCCCTCCTAGATTGCAAGCTCGAAAGAGCAGGGCCCTTGAACCCCTCATGTATTGTTTGTTGCTGTATTGTCTCATGTTCTGTCCCCCACTATAATGTACAATGCTGAGCAAACCTTTTTGGCGCTATATAAATACTGTAAAATAATAATGTTTCTTTGTCAATACCAGAATCCAATGTTATCTTACCTCATTGTGAATCTCCTCTGCTTGCTTTATAACAGTTACTTCCGCTGGCTTCAACACTTTTTCCCCAGTACTGGGAATCACCACAAGATTCTCAAGAGCAGTTTTACATCTTATTTTTATATAATTTAGTGTACCTGTAGAACACTATTAAGATAAACAAACAAAAACAAGTTAAAAAAGAAAACCTAATACTATGCAAAGGAAAGCAATCATCAGTATGAAACATATTAAATACACTGATCAACATCAAGATTTACATCTTAAAGTATGAAACACAATGTAATATCTTAAACGTCGAGCAGAACTCCAGAAAAAAAAATCCCCTGACTTGTGCTTTGAACAAACAAATGCCCTCTAAGGATGATTTTCCTAGGGCAACATTGCTGCTGCTTCAAAAAAAAAAAAAAAAAAAAATCATAGTTTAGTTCATGCTGGAAAGACACTGTGAATGGACAAGGGAAAGGAAAGGAAGGGTCAACAACAGGGCCCCTTCACTATATAAGAGTCACAGTTCTGACTGTGCAATTTTGCGTAAATTAAACTATAATTTTTACTTTACACATAAGTGATCTGAACATAGTATAAGCATCATTAGAGAGAACAGGTAACTTGTTTGTACACAGCATAGGTAGAAAAAAAAAAATCTTTCCTTAAGTTCTGATTAAGTGAAATATAACATTTAGCCATACCCCAAAGTGCATACCTCTTATACTAACAGAAATATGATGATAGACATTATGTTATGCTGCACTTGATGGTTTGATGACATGGGGTGTCTGGAGTAGTATGTCACAATATGCCATGGCACCTGAATGTGGCCATATTAAAAGGTTCTCGGGTTGCAGTCATGTCTCTTGATTTGTTCTATGTTGCTATATTATTTCCTGATTGTTTTCTTTGACAAAATAGGAACACCATGGCAATTCTCCATCAACATGGCAACACAGAGTGCCGCCATGTTCTTCAAATCTAAAAGAAAAAAAATCTACACCACTCAATCTGGTGCCTTCTGTTTAGTCATTAAAACAGAGTAAACTCACAGCCCCCATCTTTGTTGCAGCCTATCCATTCAATTATGATGGCAGTTTATAATTCATGATATGTAAAGCAATGCACTTGTTTACCTAGAATTGTAAAATCTTGGACACGTCCCACTGATGCATACAACAGGCAATATTTAATAAGTAAGAAGTTACAAATTGGCTATAGGAACAGCGTACCTCAGCTACTCTGTGCGTGGAGCTGAAACGAGGCTGTGATCCAGCAATCACACAGTGCTGGTGGGTTTTATTCAGGTCACCTGTTGAACAAACCATAGGAAAAAACAAAGATACAATTGATCAGATACAGTTTCATTATATATCCTGAACAAGCATTATTATCAGATGTATGTAGTACCCAAGTTCATAAAAAAAAATATGGAAGCATCATTTTCTGTATCAGGACAGTACCCACTGGTACTAGAATCGCCTAGAAAAAGCAAAGAACAACTATTTCATTGCAGGGGTGTCTTGGAACCTATCCTAGCCTATTCTTTTGGCTGCAGCTCATTGCTCTTCTGAATAAGTTGTTTAGCTTGTACTCTACTTAAACACTAATTGTCAGTTGGGATCACGGTGTACTTCAATCAGCTATATCATACAAACTATTCCCAAAAATCTAAATTTTGCTGACTGTACTACAGAAATAAGTGACATGCTAGTTTGCAGTTACTGGTGACATGCAATATTTGTGATAAAAGTGTCCAGAGTGGTTTTGGAATATTGTATTAGTTAGTATTAATTTCCCTTGTAACTATTCACAAAAAATGATCTCCCAGCAGAAAATGACTGCCTTTGAAATGCTGTATACATGTTCCCTTCAGCAGGCTCTTTAGTGGCTGAAATCAGTCCAAGAGCCAAGTGAGGGTAAAGAGGTGTGAAAGGGTGCACCAATTTATCTTTATTTGTTGACTAGAACCAATCTATCTCCCTACATATACAAGGCTTTCTGAGAATGGCTGCAGGGCATTATTTATTCCTGCAAAGTGACTTTTGACACAGGGACAAAACAGGAGATGCCGTCTTAAAATGAGTGGCCGTAGGCCAAATGTTTGTGAGTTCGTTTAAACGCTGGGTGCCAGATGAAACTTGTTTCCCTGGCAACCCGCCTGTCAATCAAACGGCAAAAGAGATCTGCACCTGATCAGGAAATTTTCCATAAGCATTATATAAATCAAAGAGTTAATGCCACATTTTAATTCAGGAAATTAGATCATTATTTTATAATCTGCACTACTAAAATTTCATTGCTCCCCTCCATTCAAATTTAATATCATATTAATAGCAGAGGGAATCCTGGGAAATTCCATATAGGTAATGCACAAGAGATTAATAAGGACATTCTAAAATAAAAAAAATGAAAAAAAAAAAGGTTTTTCTTTTTATTATAGGATTTTTCCATGTGTTAAATACGGTATACTGAAGTACATTAACCAGCACAGCAACAGAGAAAATGCATGGCTGTCCAACATTTCTGAAGTCAGAAACACAGAAATTGCACTGTTCTGTACAATTCGTTTGTACATGTGTTGTTATTAAAGTAATGGCAAAAGAGTACAGAATTTGGAACAAGCAGAGATAGAGTAACCAAGGATAAACATCAACAAATGATTAAGGCATCTTCGAGAGAGTAAGGCCTCTTATACTTGCTTCAAAATGTGGCATTTGACAAGATTTTTAAAGCACTCCATGCCACTCAAAGCATGTCACACTAAATACAATGGTTACCTTACAATCGTGTACACACTGTTGAGTTTGCTATGCTTCAGAAATTATACCGCTTATATGTCACTTTCATCATATTTGCAGCAGCTCAAAGCCCCCATAGAAATCTATGGCCTCGTTAACCCCTAGTTCACACCTATGCATTTTTTAAGTGCATTCTGCAGGAACACACTACAATTCATTTAACATGGTTTCCTATGGAGCTAGTTCACATCTGTGTGTTTTGAGACAGTGCATTTTTTGGAAAGGGTCAGGGACTTTTTTTCCCACAGCAGAGTATGAGGTACGTGTAATAGACTTTAATAGACCCACACTAAAAATGAAAGTGTTGCATTTTTGTTGCATTTTGCAGTTTTTTTGGCTAAAAGGAAATTCATGTAGTGAAGACAATTCTGTTCATGTAGTGAGACTTTGATGCAACTTTACACTCCCTGTCACTCAAGTAGCATCACATAGCATCAAAGTACTTCATGAACCTTTGTGTGTCCAAAGTCAAATGTCAGGGTTAAGGGCTAAGGTTAAATGTTAGGGTTAAATGTCAGGGTTAGATCTAAAGTTAGGGGTAGCGGTAATTGTTAAGGTTAGACCGCTAATAATTACTGCTACCCCTAACCCTAATGATTACCACCAACATGAACCCTAATGATTACCCCTAACTCTAAACCTAACCCTAACATTTAACCCTAATATTTTACCCTAACCCTGGCTCTCCACAAAGCAGGGGGAATCAGATTTGGGTAGGGCATAGAGAGAATCAGTGTGGCAGCAAATACAAAACTGTGGGTATCTCCTGCAGCAGCTGAAAGCCAGAAAGAGAGAAACTGGGTTACAGTTGCAGCAGAGAGCTGCACAGGGCATAATTCCTGTAACTGCCCCCCCCCCCCCCCGAGCCAGTCATCCTCCCTGTCCTGCCCAAATCCAATTCCCCCTGCTGCTAGGATCTCCCTGTAAGCCCGGAATCTTGCAGGAGGATCAGCATACCCCCTTTTTGGCAGCCCTGCCTGGACCCATTCATTTGAATGCACAAGAGCAACAAGGGGTTTAATTCCTACTGCGGCAGCGAAGCAAAGCACTGCAGCCATAGAATGTGTACACCCCCAGCCAATGCCTCAGCAGCAACAGGGGGAGCAATTGGGGGGGGTTAAAAATGTGGCTTAGCCACTAGGTTGTATTGCCCCTCAATTGCAAGTGTAAATGAGGCCCATGATAACACTCACTAACTGCATCTACAGCTGCTGAGTGGTGCTTATAAAGTGCTAGCTGTGCTTTATGCTCACATCCAGACTGTGGTGTTCAGTATGAAGCAGTAAGAAGGTGAGCCGGTTAGAGTGGGCAGGTATCAAACATGCGTGGGACTGATAAAGCAGGAAGACGAGTGGGGACAGGATTAAGGACCAAGCAGAAAACTGAGCAGTGGGGAATCAGCAGAGCAGATCATATCAGCAGATCAGGAGTTCAACATAATGGAGGATCAGAAGGAGTTCAGCAGAGCAGAGTTTCAGCAGACTGGAGGTTCAGCAGAGCGTGCGGGGTGTAGCTGAGATTACTACTGAGCAGGAGAGGGGGAGTAGGGTGGGTGCATGTTACTACCTAGCAGGAAGGGGGATACTTCTACAGACAGTAATGTACCGCTGAGCTTGGGGGGAGTGCGGCATGGGGAATAGGCTGGGGGGGGGGCGTCTGCTGAGCCAGGAAACTGCAGAGCAGGGGGGACTTCTAAACCGGGAGATCTACTGAGCCAGGAAGCTGAAAATCTGGAGATCTGCTTGGGGGGGGGGGGTATGGTACTAATAAGTCAGGAGACAGGTCAATGGGGATTACTAGCATTGATAAGCAGGTGCCTTCCAAAATGAAACCTCCAAAACATGTAGCTGAGGCTTGGAAAATGGTTTTGGGCACCTGAGCTGTTTGTCCCTCTATAGTATGGCTGTGGGCTGAGTATTTGCTACAAATATTTTTTGTCTAATTTGTTACTTTTATGATGCACTTATTTCATAAATCCATAAACCCGGGCCTCCTACCTCACACCCCCATGCTTTAGTGCATAGCTGTGATACCTTGGTACTTCTTCGATACACAGGGGACCTATGTTTTCCCTACTGTAAACCTGTTCGTGGTATGCTGTTTGGTGTTTTGATAGCTTGCTGTTGTATAGTTTTGCCATTTTCGATTTTGACTGGCTAATTGACTTTGAGGCTTTGATTGCCTCAGATACTGTTTATTTCTTATGGCTTATCTGATCTGTACAGTGTTACTAAACCCACAACAGTAAAATCAGTCTGTATATGCAGTAAAGCATGCTTGTTATACTCATTGTGGAACCTAAGGTTTTAATCCTCTGCATTGTATAGAAATGCTGTTTGATCCTGACTTCTCTGATCCTCACCTTCTTCCAGAGTCCCCCTCTTATCTCCTGATAAGACATATCATGTGGAATCACTCTGCACATGCTCAGTTTTGTGTGTAATGCTAGAGAGGTTTTTTTTTTCTTTCCTTGGGAGAGTGCATGTGATCAGCACAGGGCCAATCAGGACTGTCCAGACAGAGGTCAAGGGACCTGCATCTTCCTAGAGCAGAATGAAACTCCTCCTACAAGCTTTAACATGCTCGGCTGGACACCAATAGAAGTCTCAAGACTACTCTAACTGCTGATGAGAAAAGGTATTTAGCAGTTTATTAAAATAATTGTATTTCCATTTTCTGTGTACTGTGGGAGACCAGATAAAGTACTTTAATGGTAACTGTGTGCCACCTTAAGATTCCCATTGAGCTACTCCAAGCATTTCATTTTATTACGGTATGCCTTTACAAATTTCCCTGCTAAATGTGAAGGTTTGAATAGTCCCTTCAAGAGATCCATTATGTGGAGAGATGCCCTCACTCAGAACTGTGATATCTTCTTCACCCACCTTGCAGAGACACATCTCTACAAGGTTAACCCTCCACTGGTCTCCCATCATAAAATAGTTTTTTCACCAATTTGGATTAAAAGAAAAAAGGGGGTGATGACTGAGGTCAAATACACTGTGTTCTTCTCTGAAAGCTTTGCGACAAGAATGGCAGATATATCATTCTCAGAACTATGCTGAACCGCTGCCCATTCACCATAGTCACTCTAAACTCCCCCCAACTCCAACCAATAGACCTGTTTGAATGCACTTATAAAAAGGGTGCATGCCCTCTTCCATGGTCACCTTATTCTATGTGGAGATTTTGATGAAGTGATAGACAACGCTGTGGAATCCACCAGCCTGACCAGGCAGAAATATAACACACTTTGTATAATCCTGAGAACTGAAGGCCTGTTTGATGTATGGAAAAGCTTGGAGATGGATCAGAGAGGGACTACACTTTCTTTTCTCAGGCACTACATGGGTATTCTAGGACTGACATGTTCCTGGGGGACAAAAACACATCACTCAGAAATAAGAGTATGGCAATTGAAAATATAACATGGTCTGACCATGATATATTGATGACAATTATATTCTACCCCCTGCAATATGGATATTGAACCCTTGCATCCTAGTTGACT